TGCGCCGTGTGGCAGTTCGTCAACCAGACAACCCCAGGCGAGTCAGCCACTCGTCGCTCTCTTGCCCGCTGAGTGGGGACAAGGGCGCCCGCGGGTGATGCAGGAGAGGGTGGAGGCGGAGGAGGGGGTGCAGGAGAAATGGAATGGAACGTAAACGGAGTGGCTGGCAGTTGGAGCCTGCTAGGGGTCTGAGGTGGCCCAGCACTTGTTCCGACCAGCAGAAAGGGAGGCGGGGTTCGAGGTCATCGGTTTTGCCCTTTTTGGTGTCCGTGGGCCGCTTTCGGGCCCCGGGACCCCCAGATGGACCCTGGGAGGGGTTTTGGGGACCGATCTTGAGCGGGTTGGCCTTTCTCCCCAAGCAGTGTTTGCACTTGGGGGTTCTTGCTTGTCTCAACCATGTTCAGGAGGGAAAAAAACACACAGACACAATTAATCTGCGATTCCCAGAAAATATGGGAAAATATGGGAAGTGGGGGGGAAGACAAAAACCCAGAAAATATGGGAAAATATGGGGAATCTTTTTATTTGTGTATATTTATTTGTGTGTTCTGGGGCCCCTTCACATCTGGGGACCAGTCCCGGCTTTGCCGCGCGGTGCCGCGCGTCGCCGCCCCGTCGCCGCCTCGTCGCCGCCCGTCGCCTGGGCCCGCGGAGGAGGAGGAGGAGGAGGAGGAGGAGGAGGAGGAGGAGGAGGAGGGGGAGGAGGGGGAGGAGGAGGGGGAGGAGGGGGAGGAGGAGGAGGAGGGGGAGGAGGAGGAGGAGGGGAGGAGGAGGAGGAGGAGGAGGAGGGGAGGAGGAGGAGGAGGAGGAGGGGAGGAGGAGGGGGAGGAGGAGGAGGAGGAGGAGGAGGAGAGGGAGGGAGGAGGAGGAGGGTGAGGTGGGGGGGGGGCTGTGCCGAGCTGGCCGACAACGGACGCTCGTGGGGACCTGCGCGAGTTTGCATAGCGACCTGACGCGCAGCGTGCGCGCCCCGCCAGCGGGCCGACCAGTCTCGGCTTTTCCGGGCGGTGCCGAATTCGAATTTGGCCCGAATTCGAAGTCGCCCGCAGGCGGCGCGCCCGCTCCCGCGGCGGCGGCCGAGCGGAGCGCGTCCCAGGCCTCCGCCGCGTCGGGGAGGCGCAGGAAGCGGCGCACGCTGGCAGCCGCCCCTCCTGAAGGGCGTGTTTTCGGAGGACGAGGAGGAGGAGGAGGAGGAGGAGGAGGAGGACGACGACGACGACGACGAGGAGCTCGCGCGCCGCCGCTCGATGGATCTCGTGCTGCCCTCGTCCGCGGCCGTCCTCTCCCTGCGTGCCGGGGCTCCCGAGCCTCCCCAGCAGGCCAGTGCTGGGTGGGCTATGGCGAGGACTGCATCTGGCGCGACGGCGAGGCGGACAAAATCTCTGTGCAGGGAGCGCAGCGGCTCATGCACGGAGAGGCCTCGCGGCTGGGACGGGGCGGGGGGGAGGGCCGAGAACGGAGGCGATGCCCCTAGGCCTCCCAGATGGGGTCCGAGTAGATGGGGTCGGATGATCGCGCCGCATCGCCAATGCAGCGGCGATGCGGCTCGAGGCGGAGCCCGATTGTATCCACGCCGACATCGCCGATGTATCGCCGACGTCGCCGATGCATCGGCGATGCATCGGCTATGCATCGGCGATACATCGACGATGCATTGGCGATGCGGCGCGGTCCTTGGATCCCATCTACTCGGACCCTGTCGAGGAGGCCTCTAATGTCATGGAACCTACGCTTCGAAGAAGAGATGTCTACACAAACGGTCCAGGGGGATTTCCTGGATCAGCGCCAGGGCCGCCTTGGCGGCGCCTCTGGCGCCATGGAGGGGGTCCGGCGCCGATCCAAGAAATCCGCGAGGACATCCGAAAGTTTATGATTATGGCATGTGTTGCCCCTCTAGCTACGAAGTGCGTTCGCAGAACCTGCCCTGCTTCGTCGCTGAAGCGCTCGCTTCGCAAGTCCTGCTATCGAACTCTCCTGATTGTGTCACCGCCCCTGGTGTCCAATGTTGTCACCGCCCCTCGTGTCCGCCATGGCCGTCCTAATATGTATATTCCTCCTCCTGCTCCTCGGGAATGTCGCGTGGCGTAAATTACGAATGTGACACATGTACATGCGTTCTGTATGTATATCACACACAGATCGTTGATGATATCGTGTCACAAACAGCGTACCTCATCATATACGACGTAACTATTGTTTCGCACATGGTAGGATACACAGTCGTTCATCATGCATCTGCTGCTTTGTTCAGCCCGTGGAATGTTTTGCGCATCATGTGGAATCCGATATCTTTCGTTGTAGGCGTCAGTGCAGAGTTTAGCGTGTACGCTGACTCCAAGATGCACTGCTGCCTTGGCGAAAGAACTTCGAGTCAAGCTCCGACAGGTCTGGATCGGCAAGGAAGTTACAGACTGTCGATGTGCTGCCACTGAATGTTTGTTGGTGTCCGCTTCGCCTCTCCGCTCCGTTTGGACCGTCTCAGCCAGAGGGCGAAGTATTGCGAAGGCCTTACGGCCAGTGCCGCCGACCCTGAAGACGAAGCTGTCTGTGACGCCGTGAAGGCCGAAACGTCGTATATGCTAGAAATGTAAGTTCCCGATGGAAAAGTAATGAGTGTGGCCTCTTGGGCCCTTCTTGGGGGTTGCTCTTGGAGGGGGCCTGGGACGTCTTGGAGGCTTCTTGGACGGTCGTGGGGCTTCGTTTGGACCGTCTCGGCCAGAGGGCGAAGCATTTCCGAATCGCGCCCGCAGCAGCAGCACAGACCAAGGCTCACAGTAGCACCACGGAGAGGCCCAGCGCGGGCAGCAAGGCCTCGCTACGGGACGTGCCCGCGCCAGCTCCGGCCAAGCTCTGGCGGACATCACTTTCGACGACGACGACGACGACGACGACGACGACGCGGCTTCGGGTGCGAAGCCGAGGCTTGTTCCGCGGAGCCGGTGCGCGCTGCCTCGGCGGGGTGGGCGGCCTCCATGGAAGTGGCGCAGGTGGCCGCTTCGACGGTGGATGCGCAGACGCGTCCCGATTGGAGTGCGAAGGTGGAGTCGCTCGACGGATGGCCACCGACTGAGGTCAGGCAGGCTGAAGTGCGTCAGGTGTTCTGCGCGCCCTGACCCCAGCTCCACTCAGGAGCACGTGGGTTTGGTGTTGTCCGCGGTCGTTTCGAATTGGCTCCCGGAGTTCCCGTCGGCTTGCCTTGACCTCGCAGTCTGTCACCAAGAGAATTTGAACTCAAAGACTCTCGGTTCGATTACGTTTGCAGCGGAAACAAATATTTAAAACCGTAATAGCATCCACGCGTTCTGAAGGTTCGACCTAAGGCCGCGAGCGCGCAGCATTGGACAGTGTAAGTTGTACATGATTGGTATACTTGGCTACGAAATTTGATAATTGCTTGTCTCTCTTGAGATGCGGCTCTGGAATCCCAATGGCTACACTTGTTCGCGCTGCCAGACCACGTGGCCCCTCCCTCATGCCTTAACGCACTCTCTGAAATGAAGGTGGGGCGTTCGAAAATGACCGATGATGTGACAAGCTGAAAGCAGGTAGGACAAGAACGGAACGGAGCAGCGGCTTTCTAGCTTACGGCAGGGCATGAAGATGTTCACCGCGGCATCACTCAACACCCAAACAACCGTCGTTGGTACGCGTCTGGTTTCGCGCGTGCTAGTAAACCCACAAAAATGGTGCGTTTACGAAAAGTAGTGTGGGCAACATTGAAAAGGTGGTGTTTGAGCGCATAAGAGGAGGAGACGACGGACGATTACAACGAGGACGGCATTCTGGCGGAGAAGAGCGAGGATGAGGAAGAGGAGGAGGGAAAGAAAAATCAGGAGAAGGGAACAGGCGCAGAAGGAGGATAGAAGGAGGGGGGAAGGGAGGCCGCAGAAAACCAGAGGCATGAAGGGGGAGGTGAGAGAGCCAATTTCGCCCCATGGCAAATATCTTGTTGTTGCGCACCTCCTCATCCGCACGCGCGTTTTCTCCGCACTGCACTCGCATGAAAAAGCTCTCACTTCTGTTTGAAGCAAGTGGCAGGCGCTTCCGGGCTTTCGCCCGGTGCCAGCCCATGACCATTTCATCGATTTTCATGGGCTGGCTGGCGGTTCTGGGCTGTCGCCTGGTGCGGACCCGACCACAAGAAGCCTTCCTCAAGAAACCCAGCCCTGAGACCCCAGGACGTCCATTGGTTTTTCTTGTGAGGGAGCGTCACGCTCTCCTTGGGAAAACCATCGAAACCCAAGAAACCCAGCCGTCGATCGCCGCCTCGTCACCGCCTCGTGCGCTGGCTGGCGATTCCAGGGGGTCGGCCCTGTGCCCGGCGAATCGCCGCCCCGTGCGTCGGCCTGCGGTTCCCATCCCTTCGGGCAGAGCTTGCTCGTCGCCGCGTCGTCGTCGCAGGCGCTTGGCCAGCGCACCCACAGATTACACCACATAGCTCGTGCTACGTGGCGTACGCCGCTCAGTTTACGCCACACAGACTGCACCGCACCACACCGCTTTGGCCTCACAGCTCTTCACCGCGAAACTTGCACCACGTAGCCAACACCGCATAGATCACACCACATCGCTTGCACACCGCAGCTTGCACCACAGAGCACTCAACACACGGATGGCACCACAGTGCTTGTGCGTACCTGTAGAGATTGCACCACAGCGCTTATTGACATAGCATGTGTGACGTAGCTTACTCATCCAGAGTGCAGGAGTTTACTGTTCGGGGTCCGCGCTGGCAAACCTTTGCTCGTTTGAATCTCGCGTGTACATACATTCGTATACGTTCCACACCTTTGCTCGTGTGCATCCTGCTGCCGCCTGGCTGCCATCCCAGCCTATGGCTCATTCACTCTGTTTGCAGGTCCGGGTTCTCAAGAACTTGACCGGCTGGAAAATCAACAATCTGTACAACATTCCCATGCACCACGAGGGGAACGTCGATGTCAGCATTTTGCGTTGCAAGGCCTTCGGGGTGCGCATATGTTTCTGCGTGTTGCCGAGCATTCTTGACGCGTTGCATGATCAGGCGTGTAGGCATTTGTTCCTTCATTTTTTCACAACCACGTACGCCACAAAGTCCGTTGTCCTTGCCACCCACCCCCCCACCCCTCCTGCTACAGTCGGGGGCCTGAAGAAGGAACCCTTTTCGTTGGGGAGGGGCTCCGCATTCCTTAAGTGTTTCGCAGCTTGCCTTGGGTCTTCCTTTGGTTTTTCGATCGGAAATCGAAGTTTAACTTACGGAAAAAAGGAGCCTCGTTCCCTATTTAGGGTTCCTTAGGTCAACGCCCCGACTGTAACTCGACGCCGTTTCTACCAGGACGCGCTCACGGGATCACCAGTGCTCTCCACCAGACAAGTTTGATGCATACATGTTGCGGCAGTTGTTTTTGGGGGAGCGTTTCAAACAAGATGATGTATTATGAGGATCAGACCTTCTGAGCTGTGTAGGGAAACACTGGGTCAATTATGCGACAATCTAGGTACTACGGATTGCAGGTGTAAGTTGATTGTAGGTTGAAGCCGATGCCATCGCATGTCACGTCGTTGCGTTGTCCTTGCAAGACGTATCTCGCTGATCGGAGGGGAAGTGGTGTCGCGATTTCAGTCCCAATCACAAATGCAGCGGATGTCCTGCATACCACGATGGTGCCCGTTGTTGCGCAAAGGTCGCATGGGACGCCGTCGTCAATGCTTTGGTCGCACGGCTTGAGGAAATAAGGCATTCATCTCTCCGTCCTTCTCCAAGCTCCTCCCTCAGCGCTCCCTTCTCGCATCCTCCCTCACCCCTCCGTTCTTCCCTGTTCCATCCCTCCTGTCTACTGCCTCCCCGGGAAGTTCGAAGCAATGCCCCTTGGGCGAAGAAGAGGTAAAGAAGACAGAGCAGTGAGGAATGATGGTCAGGGGCCCCCAAACGGGGTGGTGACCACACCGTGCGGTGAGTCGGTGGGGATTCGGGGTCACCGCACGGTTTTGGGACTCGGGTCGTTCTCCGAGGATGTCTCGGGCGATTGGGGCCTCCGAGGTCCCAAAACCGTGCGGTGACGGACCGTGCCGTGAGGTCTTGGGGGATTTCGAGGTCACCGCACGGTCTGTCACCGCACCATCCCGGGACTCCAACAAGAAGAGGTAAAGAAGGCAGAGCAGCGAGGAATGATCGGCAGGAGGGTAGGATGACCGCAGGGGTGTGAGCACAACCCGTCTTGACTCAAGATCATCCCTTTCCCCCCCTTCCATCAGTTCCCATCTCTCTAGGCCTCCCAGATGGGGTCCGAGTAGGTGTGGTCGGAGGATCGCTCCGCATCGCCGATGCATCGGCGATGCGGCTCAATGCGGAGCCCGATTTCCTCCACGCTGGCGTTGCCGATGCATCGCCGATGTCGCCGATGCATTTCCGATGCATCGCCGATGCATCGGCGATACGGCGCGATCCTCCGACCCCATCTAGGAAGCCTCGAATCTCTTGCCCTCAACCATACCCATCGGTCGTTGCAAGTAGGTATTTTTGGATTCCCTGATCCCAATATAATTTAAGCGCCTTCCTACTTCAATGATCGAGTGGCTTCACCTTTTCCGTCCTCCTTAGGGGGCGGACGGAACCCAATATATGTTCAACGTTTTCCTACGTCATGTTTCTACCTACGTATTCCGACCGATGGGTATAGTTCAAGTTTACAGACATTCCTCATACCTTTGGCAAGCTCATTGACTGTATCATCCTCATGGTCCTTATCCTCCTCCTTCCTCTCCTCATCCTCTTCCATGATTTCTTATCACTTCGTAGGCCCCGACAGCCCACCTTTGGTAGCGTTTTCTTCTCGCGTCGTTCTTTCGTGGTCCAGGTGCACGAACACGTCGCTTGGAGGTCGAAGTTGAGGAAGATCTGGCCGTCGTGGCTTTCTCGCGCTGCCGGAGGCCTGGATTTTTTGAAGCCTCTGGAGGTCTTCGCATGTCCCCGGAGGCCTCCAGAAGTCGGCGGGCCCCGAAATCGCTGAAAGCACACAGCAAACACAAAGCATCCAGAATATCGAGGTGTCCTCCTTCATCCACACACACACACACACACCCCTACACGGGCGCCCCCCATCGGCGGAAGCCATCCTCCCTTCTCCGAGGCAGTCGGGACTCGAACCGAGCCCGACCGTGGCGACGAGGATGCCCCCCCAGGCCTACTCTTGCCCCAAACCAGCCGCCGTGGCGGGAGCCGTGGTCCTCACCCCCCTGGTGGACCCATTGACGTTGACCCCCGTCTCGGGAGGCCGTCGACTCGCGCGGTTCAGAATCCCAGATGTGCGCTGCCCCGACGTCCGACGTCTCGATCTGTTCAGCGACGAGGCCCCCAGAAGTTCCGACCGACCCTTTCCCGAGGACCAGCTGTCCATCCCGAGTCGTTCCCGTTGACAGTCCCGGTGTTCCTGGAGGCCGAAGACGGCAAGAGTCGGGGGCGGAAAAGAGGGGGGTGATGACAAGGGGGGGGGGGGATATCATGGCGGGGGCCATGATGTTTCCCCAGATCTCGTGGCGCCTCTTCTTATTTCATTACGTCCCTGGCCCCCCCGCTGGGCCGCGCACATGCCGCCGGTCATGATTTGCACCCCCCCCTCTTGGACACCCCCCTCTTGGCCGCTCCCGAAAGAGATTGGCCGTGGCGTGTCACGACGCAGACATGTCCGGGCCCTCGCCCTGCCCTGCAGCCGCTGGGCCCACCCCCCCGGGTGCGCTCGCGCTGCCGCCCCACGCCCGCTGCCAGGGGCTGCCCTTCGGCTCGGCCGCCCCGCGTGCCCCCCCGCGGCCTCGCCGTGTGATCAGCGCCCTCTTTCCTCCGCTCCTGCCTTCGAGGCCGCCTCCGGTCCTCTCCCCTCCCCTCGCATGCGGAACGAGCCGCAGTGCCGTAGCCCAGGGCTGCCTGGGCTCGCACGCGAGCTGCATGTGCCGCGCTGCGGCGCCCCCCCCCCAAAAAAAACATATATGGGTCCTCTCGTTCCCCCTACTCCTCTGCATCCCGCCGTCGAGAACCAGACAGTCCACCTCGGCGTGTGCTTCCCCGAAAACCCGCGGACCGCCCGCTGGCGTCCCAGCGCCGGAGCATCCAACCCCTTATCGCAGCGCCTCTTCTCCCTCCTCCTCCTCCTCCTCCTCCTCCTCCTCCTACTCCTCCTCCTCCTCCTCCCCCTCCTCCTCCTCCTCCTCCTCCTCCTCCTCCTCCGCCTCCTCCTCCTGGATTCGAGCGATGCGCCTCGCTGTATTGTGCCTCCCCGATGGTGCTCGCCAAGGGTCTGCTCGAGCCTTCCTGTCAGGCGGCTTTCGGGGCCTGTGGCCTCCCGAGCGGGAATTTCAGACCAGCCTTTGGGCGTCAGGTAAATGTAAGTTTTGTGGAGCTGAGCGGGGCTCGCTGGGCCACCAGCTTTCTGCTTGCCCCGCTGCCTTTGCCTTAGCATCGCTCGGACGTGTGCATTTTTCCTCCGGCGAGGACCATCGAGGAGTATCCTCGATCATTTGGCGAAAAAAACACGCACGAAACCGATAAAAACACAGGGAATGGACGTCCGAGCGATGGCGAGTTGCCTCGCAGGAGGATAACGAGCAGACTGAGTTCCCGTGTCCCGACGATGTGTGGCAGCAGAGGCGAGCAGGGAGTCTCTCCTCTGGGGGGTTCGGAGTGGAATGTGGTTCCTCTCTTGTGCGGCCTCCTTCAAATCCCTGCTAGGTTGCCGCCGCCGCTGTCCCATCCTCCCGTGCCGCATTGGGTCTCACGGAAGGCACCTGGGGCCCGCTCCTTCTCACCGACTGCAGCGGGTTGGCGGGCGCGTGTCCCGAGGCGGCGAGGTGCGGTTGGAGCGTGGTTGCGATCACGGAGGATGGTTGGCCACTCCGAGCGAAATTCGGCGGGGTGCCAGGATCTTTTCAAACAGTGCCTCAGGGCGAGCGGTGGGCTGGCCTTGAGGCGATGCGCGTGCGCCCTTTCAACCTCGCGATCACTAGTGATCACCTCAGCTTTGTTCGCGAGGGCCAGCGCTGCGACTCTGCCCTTGAGTGCGGCCTCGCGCGCCACGCGACGATCTGGCGAAAGATTTTTCGGCTGTCTGAGCGGTCGGGTTCGCGGCCGTCGATGGTCTGGACTCCCGCGCATCGGTCGTTAGAGCAACTGGTCAACGAGGGAGCGTCGGCCGAGGAGATCCACCGTTTCATGGGAAATGTTGGAGCCGACTTTTTCGCAAAGCTCGCAGCTAAGGACGTCGCTGTCGCACAGGTCGCGGTCGATGCCCTCCAGCATTCTGTCAAAGAGTGCAGAGTGCAAGTTTACATTTGAGTTCCTAGTCGAGGGCGGTGCAGTTGATTTGTGCTCGTCCTGAGGCTCAGGACTCGGACCCTCCTCCGCCCAAGCCGGTGCCAAAGAAGCGCGATGTGCTCGTCCTTATCGCCGATGACCCCGTCCCCCTGGCTCCTGGTTCGTCCGCGTTGCAATGTAGGCGTTGTTTGGCCGTGGCTCGGTCCCCTGCCAGTGTGAAAACGCTTTTGAAGCCAGGGCCAAGTGTGACCCGTCGCCCATGCTTCAGGCTCTCGCCCTAGCTGTTGAGCGGCTCGGCTGGCGTGCCCAAGGGGACGGGGAGGCTGCGGGGGGTGCTGCTGCTGCTGCCGACGGGGAGGCGGGGACTGTGACCTTCTTCGAATGTGATGACCATCAGGTCCAGCGTTCGGGGCCATACTTATTATGTGTTTGCTTTGGGGCTCGTGTGGCCATCGGTTCTTCCAAAATCGATGCCCTTTGGGATGTCTGCCCCTCGCGCACCCCGAACCCCGCCCGCCGTAGAGTCAGGGACTGGCTCGTCGACCAGCGGCACCCAGCAACTGGAGCTAAGCTGTAGTTCAATTCGTTGGGTCTCTGTGGCGTGTGATGGTGGTCTGACCTCGCACGCAGCACCACTTACCTCTTAGGTCGTGCTTCCATTTTCAATTTAGCTCAGAGGTGGTTTCGTGCTCGCATGACTCCATTTTCTATGCTGCGTCCTGCGTCCTCCTCCTCATCAGCAGCAGCATCAGCAGCATCAGCATGATCATCTGCATAATTTCCCTATTCACGATCGCTATTTACCATGCTTTGCCACCTAGCTGGCCGACGGCGACCCGATCCGGGGCGTCCCATCCGACTTCTCAGAATACAGTACAACATCTAAGCTGTTGTTGTCAACGTGGACGACGCCCGTGGTTGACAAAATGGGCATACGTCCACGACGGCGTCCACGTACACGGACGACGTCCACGTACATGAACAACGTGGGTGATAAAGGCCCGACGTTTTATCGCCCACGTGTCGAATGCATGGCAGGAATGGGAGGTGGCGCATCTCCCGCGCGAGAGAGCGAAATGGCCCTCTCGCCAAGAGGCCGTACTCACTTCTCCGGAGGATGGAGCTCCCGCTTGGGCGACCCAGTCCAGGACACCCAATCCCATCTGGGAGGGAGGCTAGACTGAGCGGGACCCGCTAACTCGCCCGACCTGGCTAACTTGATCCCAGCTCCCACTCCCAGTCCCCCTACTTCTCCTACCCCTCCTACTCCCATGCACCGCTCTGACGTTGCACCAATTCTGGCAGGATGCACCGTAGTGCAATTCTCATATAGTCCTCCTCCTCCTCCTCCTCCTCCTCCTCCTCCTCCTCCTCCTCCTCCTCCTCCTCCTCCTCCTCCTCCTCCTCCTCCCCTCCCTCGTACGCTGGGCTCCTCCTCCTCCTCCTCCTCCTCCTCCTCCTCCTCCTCCTCCCTCCCTCCCTCCCTCCCTCCCTCCCTCCCTCCCTCCCTCCCTCCCTCCCTATTCCTCCCTCTCCCCAGACATCCGATGTCTTGTTTTCTCCCATACGGGGTCCCCAGAAGTCCCGACCCTTCCCCAAGGCTGGTGTTGCATCCCTAACCTTTTTGTTGATGATCCCAGGGCCCAGCGAGGGCCCCCAGAGGGTGAACGTTGCCAAAAATGTCCCGTCACGATTTTTCACGACGAGAGCCTTCATGCTCCTCCTCCCCCTCCTCCTCCTCCTCCTCCTCCTCCTCCTCCTCCTCCTCCTCCTCCTCCTCCTCCTCCTCCTCCTCCTCCTCCTCCTCCTCCTCTGGCTCCCCCCCGGGGGAGGCATGGTGCTACTCCTCGATACACTGCGAGTACTGGCAGTACGGGCCCGGCGGCTGCTGGGCGGCTCCCCACCCCTCGGCTGGGCGCCGGGCGATCCTCTGCGGCGCTTCGTCTTGCCCCGGGCTGGACGTCGGGTGAGGCGTCTGGCCGTCTTCGACCTTCCCCGACCTCTCGCGCATCGGAAGAATCCAGACGGACGCGTCTCCAAAAGTTTCGCCTCCGCGGGGGCCTCACCTCGGACGGGGCCCAGACGCGGATGAGTTCGTTCCAGAGCGTTCCAGAACGCTCTCAGAGCTTTCTGGGACGCTTTGAGAAGGCCGCGACGCCCGATACATCCTCCAGGTCGCCTTGGCATCGCTCGGACGTGTGCATTTTTCCTTCGGCGAGGAACATCGAGGAGCATCCTGGATCATTTCGCGAAAAACCACGCACGAAACCGAAAAAAAAACACAGGAAATGGACGTCCGAGCGATGGCCAGTCGCCGGATCTCAGAAATTCTCGATTTATCCTCACTCGAATTTATCCTCGCCGTGGCTTCGTCGCATGCCGCCGACCCCCAGAATAGGCGGAGAGTCCCCGGTTGAGGCGCCGTGGGCTCCTCGGGCTCTGTCTGGGAACTCTTGTTGGCACCTTGGGAGCTGTTTGGGGGCCTGGTGGAGCGTCTTGGAGGCAGGTTTGAAGCGTCCTGTGGGCCCCTGCTGGGGCCTCGTTTGGGCCTCGGGGCCACGAGCAAAGGGAGCGTCTTGGAGGCAGGCTTGAAGCCTCCTGTGGGCCTCTGCTGGGGCCCCGTTTGGGCCTCGGGGCCACGAGCAAAAAGCCGCACTGGACGGCGAGGCGGCGCAGGGAGGGCAGGGGGCCGGACCTCCTGGGAGGTGAAGTTGCGCGGAGCAAGCGCACGGCGTCGGGGGTCCGGGCTCGGAGGAGGGCCGGGAGTCGGGGCTCAAGAGACTCGGCGGTGGACAGAACCCCCAACAGTGACACGTCGATTAGTGAATTGTCCGTTTTCGGTTCTCGAGAGGGCGCCGTGGCCGTTATTTTCCAGGCTTGCGCCCGCCAGGTTTGGGCCGCAGGTCGTTTTCACTAAACCACGTTTTACTAAAGGGGGGTCTGTCCATCCCCGAGAGACGGGGGTCAATACAAGCGGGGGTCAGTCATGGCGCCGGATCGTGCAGGGGTCCTGCAGGGCCAGGGGCGCACGGACCCGGGCTTGGGAGCGGGATCCTGCAGGATCTTGCAAGGCCTGACTGACCCGGAGTTGCACTGATCCGGGCCGGTGCGTCCCCGAGGGTGGTGCGGCAGGAGCACCTCCGCCGCCAGCCTACCCGAACCCACAGAAGTGAAGTGAAGAGAGACAGACAGAGAGAGAGAGAGAGAATGATAGTAGCAACGAGAATGCGAATTCATCGAAGAAGAGAAGACGGCACACCCGTGGAAATGTTCGGAGGTCCGTGCGGGGGTCCAGCGCCGATCCAAGAAGTCCGCGCAGATTTTCGAGAGCTCGTGTTTGTGCAGTTGCTTGCTCTTGTGAACAACAAAGGCTGCGGGGAGGAGCACCGGCTACAGTCGGGGCCCTGAAGAAGGAACCCTTTTCGTTGGGGAGGGGCTCCGCGTTCCTTAAGTGTTTCACAGCTTGCCTCAGGTTTCCCTATGTTCTCGATGGGAAATCGAAGTTAAACTTCTGGAGAAAAGGGACCTCGTTCTTTATTTAGGGTTCCTTGGGTCAACGCCCCGACTGTAAGAGTGCAAGGGAAGAGGGGTTTGTTGTTAGCCGAGGGGCTTCGCGCGTGCGCACTCCGTGACTCTGTGCCAGGCAACAGCAGCAGCAGCACACGAGACCAAAAAGGAATCTAAAGCTACGCCACTGAAACCACGGACAGAGCCTAAAAAGGCAAATCTGACTCCCACCCAAGGACCCCAGGAGGGTGGGAGGTGGAGGCGGAAGAGAAGATCCCGCCTCGTAGTACACCGCCTTGAGCGGCCCACGGCGCGCGGGCGGCGTGGGCGGCCCGAAGCCTGGCCTGCCTGCGCTCGCGCGCCTGCTCTCGATTCGCTCGAATACGCTCGAGCTGCTCCTCGGTGAGGGGGGGAGGAAGAGGAGGAGGAGGAGGAGAAGAAAGGGAAAGCCCAGACATGGCAGTAAAATTCACTGCCTCTGCACACATAAGGTCAATGTGCGTTTGTTCCTCGACAGCCTCATTCTCGGGGTCCTCCTCCCACGGATCAGTATGTTGCTCATCCGGCCCTGGGCTGGGGACTCACCCGAGGTGGCGATCGAGGGATCTGAATTCCTCTGGGAAGGCTCAAACCCGAAACGCTCCAACTCAGGATCGACACGACGACGACCAGATCGACGAGCGAAGTCGGGAGCGGCACAAAATCTGGAGTCCAAACCTTTCGACCAGGGAACATAGAAAGCCATTAATCCAGCTCTCAGCTCCTCAGGGTCGGCTCCAAAACTGAAATCAGCCTCCTCAACCGACTCTTGTGGCACTGCGAGAGCGGAAAGGCTGTCAATATCGGCCGAAGCTATCGCCTTGGACAACCCGCTAGAGTACGTCTTCTTAGCAGCAGTCCTGAAATCACCATTCTCCCTTTTGCCCAGGAGCGTGCTGTGCACTCCTCTGCCGTGGGAGCACTTCCCACCGCCAGGGGTGGTGAGGAGGTGGGAGCGGAGAGAGGGGAGACGAAGGCCGATAAGGCGGGTGGGGGCACGCCCAACAGAAGTCCAGTCAGTTTCTGGCGGCATGTGCTCGCATTGGTCAAAATCAACAGCACACGCATGGGGAGCTGAAACCATGGCAACGAGGGGCTTCCATCTGAAAGAAGTCGGGGCACCAGGGATCCAGGTGGCTGGAAGCGGATGCTCCATCCAACCGCTGGTGCCAGCCTTCATGTGCGCGGCGAGGAGGCGAGCTAACGCAGCTAAAAGTTGGGCCCCTATTGAAAGCTGGAGGCTCTGGCGAACCGTGCACCAAGGGACGCCCCAGAAATGCTCATTCGTGCGTAAGGGGGGGGGCCTCCGTCATACCACCTAGCCGCGCTCCAAGTCTCGCAGGGCCCCCCCCCCCCCTGTGTTCAAAACTCTGCGGGCGGCCACATGGCCTACCCACTCCTCTATGACATCGTGCTGGGTGAGGTCGCCTCTCCTCGCATCGATCGCGACATCGATCGACAAACAGTAAACAGCGCACGTCGAAGCTGGCCACTCGAATTCAAGATGCCACTGACTGTCTCCTGTACGCCCCGTGCCCGAGAACAAGTTTAAAACGAAAAACTCGGGCCGTTTAATCCGAAATGGCAGCTCGGTGGCCGCGATCCCAGAGAAGTCCTGAGGCCGAAAGGGCCAGAACCTATCATCCAGCTGCAGGGGGGCCGCCTTGGGCCTAGGCCTAGACAAACTGATGTACTCCTGGGCGGCCTCAGGAGTGAATGCAAAATCGGACTCGATCAGGGCCTTACGCGCATCCTCCTCAGACATGGTAGCCAGCTCGAGCTCGAAGGGGGTCGATGGTCCTGGCTGACGGAAGGCAGGGAATTCAGGGCGCCAACGTCCTTTTCCTGCTGCACGCTGCTTTGATGCCGCCTCTGCGTCCTCTTCGTTGAGCCGAGCACATTCCTCCGCCGAAGTAGATCGAGGTTGGGCAAGAAGAGCGACCGCGCACCGAGGAGCGTCGAAGGCCAGGTGTTCGGATAACGCCCGACGACCGGCGAACTTCATTTTACACATAGAACACCTCGAAGTCGGTCCGAGCATCGAGCGAACCTGATCGATGAAGGACCGATGTTGGCGAACGATGTGTTGCTTAAGGCCAGTAGGGGAAGGCGAGATAGCTGAGCACCACATACAAGAAAACCTGGGAGCCTCCTCTGCCTCCTGTACACGCAGCGGGTGCTCTGGGTGGTCCACCGGCTTGGGTACTCCTGATTCGTAGAGGTCCTGAAAGATATCCCGTTCGGCCCTATCAGCTTCTGCAATACGGGAATCGTAAGCAACCTGAGAAGCCACTCCCGTAGAAACGATAGTCTTCCAACCCAAAGCAGATTTTCGGACCAGGGCTTCCCATATGGGTAAGTTGTCCGCGGGTGGGGGGTACTTGCGCAATCGGTGATGACGGTGTCGCAACCACTCCAGATCTTCCAAAACCTGATGCATCCAAGTCCCCCGCCCTTCCTCCAGACAAAGCCTGGCTAGCCCCACCAGGTGACTGGGGCCAGCATGCAGAAGCCTTCCAAACAATCTCAACCTGTGGGCACGAATCGCCGTATTGGCGTCTGGTCTCTTAGCTTGGGCAAGAATGTGGGAGTTCGGAATGGCTGTTCGGTCCTTCCTTGGCCTGTGGAACACCGCGCGGGACATACGAACGACCTGGTCTGACAAGGTCGCTAGTTGCGCTTCTGAAAGTGCAGGCCACGTGCCAGCGTTAAAAAGCCTGCTGGAGCACATGAGAGAGTCCACGAGGATGAGGCCAACCTGCTTATCTAATTGAGGATCCCGCAGAACACGCCGTAAAACTTTCCAAGAAGCCGTGCAGGAATGACTTCTGTGGGCCAGCTCGGGGCCCAAGGCCCCCGCCTCGTCCAGAACAGTACCCAGGTGAGTATACTGGCGGACCGCGTGCAGCGTAATATCTCCAAGATGTCGGGTGGGAACTAAAATCTTACCTTGGGCTGTTCTCCAGAGATCAGACTTGGCCTTGACCGAACCTACTCCTCGAAACTGAAATAACAACGCGCTCTTGCCCTTAGCCGTGTGCAGCCTCATGCCCCTCTCTGCAAAGGTATCAAAGATGGTGGCTGCAATGAAGGGAGCGAACCTGAGAAGGGTCTGTGCTTTCCCGAGGAACATAAACATAGCATCGTCGAAAAAAATAAGATCCATAGAATGACCCATGTATGCAGCTTCATCTTCCACGTCGGGCCCCAGGGAACGGAGATCACTCACCGGGAAACGTACATCGATGCCGTATTCAAGAATACGGGCCTGCACGAGGCCCTGTTGCTGAATATGCTCTGCGAGCTCAGCGCGAGCCTCGGGTGGAAGTCCAGCCTGCTGTAAAAT